ATTTGTGGGAAATCCTCTCCTGAGACAGCTAGAGATGAATATTCAGTCTGGTTTTAAGGAAAATAGTTACCACAAAGCAGCAGAACTTATTTTTTTCCATTGTTGCAGCTTTATGGGAGAGAAGGGAGGGGGATAGTCATCATGGTCACCACTCATCAAAGCTAATGTTTTCCAAGAATTCACCAGTCCCCCACTGACTTTCAGTGGAAGTGACCGTTTCAGCTCTCAAAAAAACCCAACCCCAAAACCAAAACCCAACAAACAAAAACACCAAACCCCACCCACAAGAAGCCAATGCATCTAACCCAGAATATCACCACAAAAAGCCCTTATACCTCATGGGTCTTTGCATCAGCTCAGGTAGGAGACACAATAACTCTCCACTCTAGGAAAGTTCAAAGAGGACACTCCAAGAGCTGGTAGGAAACAGGGGCTCTGAATAAGTTTTCAGGGAAAATAACTCTGATATTCTGAGCCAGCTTGACACACATGCTATGACTACATCATATTTGGTCTCTATAGAAACCTACAGCCATGAATTGTGAAATTACATATACAGGCACACACAGCATCTTACATCTGCATCGAGCCTCTGTCCTGTTACGTAAGATGTGAGCTGTCAAGATTACATGGAAATGTTTAACAGGGTACAACTCCACTGCCTGGGAAAGGAAGAGAGATGAGAGATGGATGAGACACACTTGACTTTCTACAAAAGAATATGAACAGAGCGCTGGGGAAAAGAGAAAGTAGAAATCAAAGCACCTTTGTGTATTCCAGACTAAGAATAAAGGAAAGTACATCTGCTTACACTTTTGCAGACAAGACTGATCAGCTTATGGGAAGGTAGGAGGAAGAAAGTGTGAAGCTTTTCAAAATTCATTTGTATCTAATGGCTCTCTGACAACTCTCAGGTACAACTGGAGAATGAGAACCTTCTTTTGACACCCAGTCTGGAAGATATAACCTCAATGTGGGGTCTTTCTGAGCCAGCCCCAGGCTACCAGAGCCAAGAGACAGCTCAGAGCCAACAGACTGTACATTGTTGCAGTTTAATTCTGTGCTTCATTAGATTATGGTTTTCTTCTGCAACTGTATTTTGAGCTTTTGAGATTTCTGTCTTCCCCCAAAGTAGCAAATTCATAGAGATCAATGTTGCAGCTCTGTATTTTGTAATCCAAACCACACTGGTTTTCTTCCATCAAGCTGCAGGGCTCAGGTGGTTCACCAAATGCCCAAGAAAATGGAGAAATCTCTTTTGGCATTTCTGGCAAGAGACAGGTAAGTGTGGAGGCAACACATGAGTTCAGAAAAATCCAGTGCACTCAGATCCCCCTGGAGTCAGGCAAACCCTGACAGTCTCCTAGGAAAGACTCTCATTGCACAGACACGGTTCACAGAGCTCACGGAAACATTCAAAGACAGCACAGAGCAGAGCTCATGGTTTCTGCAGGGCTTCTCTAATGCCTCACATGCAGCCTCCTTCATGCGAGTTTTTAAGACCTGATGTAAAGCTTGGTATCTTTAGAGGAGCTTTCCATCCCAGCAGACACCTGATACATCACATGAAAGCACTTTCCTGGACAGTGACAGAAGAGGAAAGAAAAGCAGAAAAAGCCCTTTGCAGTATTGACATTAAATACACAAAAGAAAATTGTTTTCAGCCTCTTCATCTCTCCCATTGTCCCTCTGTACATTAGAAAGGCTCCAACGCCATGACACTGGGGAAAGCACTCAGTACTGACTGCACACTAGCAGATCTAACAGCCCTCAGGCTGGCATATAGTTACCTCCTCTTGATAAAGTTGGGTTATCAGTACTGCTGTGAATTAACAGCAGTGATGCACTTAGAGGCCAGAGTTTGAGTGATGCAGGTTAGCAAGACAGAAGGGTGAGGATGGGGCAAAGCTCCATCACCCTCCAATGGCCCAGACCTGATTAATCCCAGGAAAGGTAATGAAATCCAATCTCCATGGCCATCTACCACCAGATCCTTTGGCTGCAGGCATCCTCAAAGTTTACGTCAGTGCCTGCTGTGGTTAGGATTTTAATGATGTGGACACTTGGCTCTGAAATAGAATTAAACCACTTTGACAGTAAAAAGAATATTTTCTCTTGGAGTTTTTCCTTGCCAAAGGCTGAATCTCACACTTGTCTGTGCTGCGGCTGGGCCCCACAGCCAGCACAGATGCTGCCACTCTCAGAAAGGGGCACATAGGCAAGTCAACAGGATTTTGGGATGCATGCTTTGCTCACCACTTCAGATTGGAAAGGAGAGGAGCAGGAGGCAGCGAGGGGCTGGCCAGGCCTTTGCAGGAAGAAGAGCAGGTACAGGCCACACATAGACACAGCAGTAGCTCTTGTGCAGGATACGGAGCAAGATGATGATGCTAGGGATGACGTCAAAGATGATGCTACAAGCCCTATCGCAGCTATCCACCTAGCACACACTGGGTAAACAGCCCCGTTGTGCTCTGTTCTCACCTTCCAGGTAGGAACAGCTCAGTGCTGTCATTGCTCCAGCAGCTTTGCAACTCCCGAAAGCCCCCTGCACCATCCTGAGAGGCAGAGGAGCAGCAGTGCAGCTCACAGCACAGTGATTGCACGGTACCAACCCACCATCCCAAGACTTCTCCCTATCTCCATACACACATTTTTCCAGGAACAAAACTCATTTTAGAACTTCTCAGGCAAAGGTAAAACTCAGTTTGGTGCAGATTCTGCCCACGCTCAGCTGGCTTTGCTACACATCTATCACAGTGACAGATGGTTATAGCTCAACAAGGCACAAAGAAGCTCCAGCAAACAAGTGCTGCATTCAGCCGAAAGGCTGCATCAGACCCCCGTGCTTACTATCAGTGCTGACTAACTCTTTCATACTGCAACACACGCACCGACTGTGTTTGCCGAGACGCCTCTGTGCAAAGCCTCCAAGGGGAAGACAGGCCTCGGATCCTCTCCCTCGTTTTGGGTTTTGATTTTTTTTTTATTTTTTTTTTTAAGTGATAAAAATCAACTGAAAATAACTCTACACTGCACTGCAATTATAAATCCAGCATGAAGCACCTTGAGAGATTCACAGCTGGTAGCTAAACAGTCACTTCAGTAGAGTCCTTCAAGTTCACTTCTCTGTGCTAGGAGAAACTAGGGGGAAATACAGAAACAGGTCTAGGGGATAACTTCAAAATAAACAGCCTAACCTATAAACCTTATACTAAGAATTTCCTTTATCAATTTGTGCTTCTCTCTAGCAAACAAATATAAAGCAGACTTCAGTATCTTTGATTTGGATACTAAATTAAGACTTTCTAATATCAAAACCCACTCAAACACAGAAAAGTGCAATTCAAATGTTTATCTGTACATCTAGGGCCAAGTCCTCAGGCAAAGAGCAGTGTTGCTCCATTCCCTACAATGCTGTATTACACCAAAGGATCTGGAACTCAGCCCATGATCTCATGCAGCGACGGGCCCCTCAAACGAGACCTTGCACATGTGCAAAAAGCCAAGTTAAAACTATGGCTTTTACAATACTGTTCAAGGAAAGAATTTACAGAGTGGGAGAGATGATACATACACCATCAATCACTGAAAGAAGAGAAAGCTCAGCTGAAGAAATCCATGAGCAAAGCAGAGCCCCTGATGTGTAACAATGGAGCAGAGCCAGGGTCTCTCAGCAGCAAGCAGGGTCTTTGCATGGAAGTCCTGTGCAGAGGTTGTGCCTGAAGCACCCTCTCAGTGGAGGGTGTTCATGGGACAATGACACATGCCCCAGCACAAGAGAAACTTCAGAGAGATGGGGGGTTTTGTTTGTTTTATTTAAATAACTGACACTTCTGCATTACTCTGACAAGAGATAGCGTTGTCTGGTGACCCTCATTTTTGCAGTATCATTATCACAGGCTAATTTGTCATAGTATGCTAAAGCAAATTTTGTCCAATATAATCCCCTATACTAAAAATGTTGTCTGACAGGTACAAGGCTTTGCTGCTTCTGCCAAACACTACGTATTTTTGGACTGGAACATACAGAAAGGTAGCCAGGCACGTGGGCAGTGGCCTGAATTATTATGGGACAAGAGATTGACAGACCTCAACAAGCAACATTCTCAAATGAAAGTGTAATATACTGAACATACAAGTGATTGATAGGATATAGATCATCCTGATGCTTTTCCCCAGAACCAAGAGGAAAGCCTTTGTTAAAAAAGTGAAACAAAAAACATTACATAAACTTGCACCTTGAATATTTGCTAAATTATATCTGTCATGATTTAACCCCAGCCAGCAATAAAATATCTAATAAAAAAAAAACCAAACAAAAAACAACCCAGCAGTCAAAGCAGCCAGAAAAATGAGTCCTAAGCAAAACACATCTCAAATGTTTTTGAAGTGTTAATTATACTGCATAACGGCAGTCTGTATAGCTTATGTATACACTGGCTATAGACCAACAGACAGTAAAGTGTGTGTACATATGTCTAGGTAAATCATTATTCAAATCCCAGTGCTTCAAATGATTCTGTTCAAACAAAGGCGCTAATTTGAGGTAATCAGCAGAGAACAAATCACCTTAAGTGCCTGGTTCCTACTCTTGCATTATCACAGGCAGAAGCAATGGCTATAGGACAGTGTTTAAGAAGGTCATGGGTGAGGTTCCTATCTGCCTAATTGTTACCAGCTCTTCAAATGTCAGTGTCTGTACAGGTATGCATACGCAAACAAGCAAGACAGGAGGCAGCACCTCTCTCCGTCAGCCCTAAACATAAAAGGATCCATCTGTCTCCCACCCACTCCACAACCTGCCTAGTTTATGCATTAGTTGGGAGGGAGAGGCCATTTACTCACCCCATTACACTTATATTGATTGTGAGCATGCAGCAAAACACGTACAGACAGGGAATTTTAGGTCTTACTGAACACTGGCACCACAAGGCCTTTGCCTTTAAGCCAGGTAATCACCTGGGTCAGCTCATGTCCCTGCCAAATCAAGTCCTTACCTTCTTTTGAACCAGTGGTGATGGCAGCTGCGGTGGTCCCTGATGCCCGTCCCACCGGGCTGGAGTGCTTCCCAGCCCTGCCAGGGATTTTAAGTCCACTTGGCTTCAGCATGTTTGCTGTCTCATGTATCTCAGGCTTGTATTGCAAATGTCTCAAAGAGCTGTCCTGGTATCACCATTCAGGCTTCTCGATGATGGACCTCTTCTTCCATTGTCACACACCTGGGAGAACAGAGCACAAAAAAATCAGACAGAGAGCACCAAACAGGCTGCCAGAAAGCAGTGCCCAGCTCCCTCCTCACAGCCCTAGGAGAGTCAGGATCTTTCATTTCTTCTCCTGTAAAACAAGGCTGATTATTTCCTTCATCTCCCATCTCAATGTTCTTTCCCCCAATCTCACAGTCTCACTTTAACCCTGGAGTCCTGGACCAAAGCTGAAACCTCCTAGAACCACCAAACAAGAACTTAAATTCAGTTTGGGATTTGAGCAACTGAAATTGTTGACTGGTTTTAAGTTCTAAAGTCTCAGTTCATGCATCAGCCAAGACCTGGTTCTGCTGTCAGAGCCCTTACCAAAGGCACACTACCAACCCTCAGCACTAGACCTTTGGTGCATGGCCCCCATTCTCACCAGACTTCAGGGCAGCATCTCCAAATTGACAGGAGGAGGAAGGAGGAGGCCAGTGTCTGAGATGGGGCTTGCGGCTCCTTTCCTTAAAGACAAATCCAAAACCTTGTTACAAAAAAAGGGCACCTGACCCCATGGATTTGCAGTAAGACTGAAAAAAACCCCAACAAACCAACCCCAAACCTTTCTGAAACCTAAGCATGACTGTACCAACTACTCATTAGTGAAGTCACATAATCCTTCCCTACGCCATTCCCTTCCCAGTAGGCAAACGGAATAAAACCAATAAAACCTCCAAATTCCTTGCAAGGATGTTGCATTAACAAGCACACAACTCCTCAAGCAAAAAGTTTTATGACAATAAAAGAAAAATAAAGGAAATGACTAAGTTGCTTAAAAAAATGCAAAAACAGTCCTAATGGATAAAGAAAAACAATCAAAAAATTGAGACTATCAGCTAAAAGGAAGCTAAGGCGGGCTGACTGAGCAGGCTGGGATGCAGAGGGAAGAAGGTGGTGACAGAGCAAGCCAGGGACAACGCCAACATAACGGCAAAGGGAATTGCAAGGAGAGCAAACCACGGACCAGCCAGAAGCCAGGGGACAGCCAGACCTCCTTCCTGAGCCAAGGAAGGAGGTAGCCTGCTGCAGGCAGCACTCCGGAGAATTAATGTAGCAAAGATTTACAGATGCTGCGAGGGGGGAATTGCAATAGCGGGGACGGGAAGTGATTAAGGCATGAGTAAGGATTTCAACACAGGCTGGGTCAGAGTGAGGGGAGGGTTGGCAGGGCTCCAGGGAAAGCTGCAAGCAGACACAGGAGGAGGAAAAACCGCAAGGAGAATTCCAAAACTGTATTCCTGAGGGCTCACAAATATCTGAGACACCAAAGAGTGTTTCAGCAGTAAGAGTCAGTCATCCCACACCGGCTTAGAGAGACAAAGAAAGGAGGGATCAGCAGAGACAGCCTGGGGAGGGAGCCCGAGTGAAAACCCAAGGGATCAAGCCCTGTCTCTTCCCCACGTCCCCCACAAAGGATGTTCAACACCTGGGGTGGCTTCAGATACCTGCAGACAGCACCAACTGGGACTATTTAGCTTACACAGAAGTCAGGGCTATTTATGAGAAGTGGGATGCTCAGATCACATCACCAGCAACAGGAACAATGGACAAGAGCAAGCAGTTCTTGTTAAGCAAGAGAGAAAACAGCCTTCCTGCGACAGAGCCAGAGAGGACCAGATGCTGTCACAGAGCTGGACAGGAGGCTGCGGTTTCCAGCTCTGTTTAGCATAAAACAAGGAGACAAGTAACAGAATCTGGAAGTGAGAAACATTGATCAGCCTGGTTCCTCCTATCTGTCAAGCCATCAGACATCTCCCTTCCACCCACTCCATCTCATATGACATATTTCGCCCCAGGCTAGCTTTGATTTTACAGAGCAACTGGATTTCTAGCACTTCTGCTGGCAGGTGATGTGGTCTACCAAGAGATCTCACCCCATCTCTATCACCTTCAACCTGAAGGTTTGCTCTCTTTACAAGATACCCTTACTCCTAGATTTACACATCTCATCGCCCAGTCCTACCATTTGGTTACATGGTTTGATGCTGTACTTGAGATTAAACAAGCTGGAGATGCTATTTCTTCCAGATAAAACATGGCTGGTTGAGTCCACAATCAGGAATGTAGATGGGGGAAGGATAAAAAGAATTTAAGCAGGAAAGGGTGCCAGAAGAATAAAAATATTTTACAGTTTTTCAGGCCTCTGTTAGAGGGATTCTCTGGATCCCTAACTTTGCAGTGAGAACCACATAAGCTTTAGGGAGACAGTGAATTTAGTCCGTTCCTCTATTTTGCTGCTCATCTATGAGGAGACAGGGAACTTCAGTTCATTCTCCCTCCACTACTCATTATCCCTGAAGATAGCTGGCCACACAAGTCACAGGATATTGTGATATTCTGCTCCTTCCCAGGATGACTGGATTTTATTTTTATGCAGGGGGAGAGAAATAAGAGGAAGTGCATTCCCACTGCATGAAGATTTCTGCCAGAAACCTTTATGCAAACACATTTGCTTTCAACATACTAATGCTGAAAAACAAATGAACTCCACAGGCTGCTAATTAAGCCACCCTCCAAACAGATAGCTTCTTTTACCCTGAAATACAATCACCACAATTAGTTCACAGCCACACTCACTGGGGTCTCCACGCCACATACCACATTCCAAGAACTTCCGAAACATCACCCTGCATCACAGCCAGACACCCCTTGCCCAGCTATGCTCACCGCATGTAGCTTCACAGGGAAGTCTGATGGGGGCTAACTCACATATCTGAAGTGTCATTCTCGTCTCCATCAGCTGCAGACTGACCAAAGCCAGGAAACAGGGGTGACTGCCTTAGCGTGTACCCACACACTCATTATCACACAGGGAAATGAGGATGAACTTGAGTAAATTTTACTGTAAATGCAGCTTGTTAGAAATACATAGATAAAAATAGGTGCCTGGGACATTTTTAAAGAAGCCTATGCCTGCTGCTAGGGACAGATACTCCTTCTCTGTCACTAGTTTCTCCCCTACTTCTACATAAAAATATATGAGCAGATTTTTAGGAAGCTCTGAAAGCCAAGCATGGAGCTCTTCCAAATTACACTATTAGGTCATCTTCACCACCCAGAGCAATGCTGCCCTAAGCCATCCAAGTCCCACATTAGCTCCCAAGTGATGCAGCTTTTGTGCTGCAGAAATATCCTTGGCCTGGGACATAGGCCAGTATCTCCACAGGGCACTGCCCTTCTCCATTAGAGATAACAACTTGCCCTGATAACAAATTGTACCCTCAGCATCCCAGCAGGCTCTATTAACAGAAACCTTCCGAAAAGTCTGTTTCCAGCAGTAAATGCTGAACACAGGCAAATATGATGCTGTACGTGGCATAAGAAACACATGAGTCATTTTCTCTTTCCTACTCCCTATATTACCTGCCCAAGCTGTAAGCTTTGCCTTCCTGTATAACTTTATGGAAATGCGATTTTTTTCCAGACACACCGTAAAAAAAAAAAAAAAATCTGCCCCTGTGGATACTCCAGGGCCACCAGCTCTGCTTATTTTGTTTTTCTTCCTTTTCCAAGATGACACAGATTACAAGGATTTTCTAGATCTCTGCTAGATTCTTCCTGCAGTTTCTTCATACTGGGATGAATGGTTCTGTCTGTTCCCACAATCAAGGAAAGCATCCCAGGAATGCACAATATGAAAGCCTGCTGCAAATGACCAAAATATTCTGTTCTCCATTCTTCCACCAGAAAAGGGGACAGCTGGATCTGAGTTACCTAGGCTTAGATTCAAAAAGGGGAACAGTTCTAAACTAAGTGCAGATGTACATCCAAAAAATACCTTTCACCAGGAGCAACATATCTGGATATGCAAGTATCCACAATGTTGGCCAGGCATCAGAACAGCACACATTAAAAACAGAGAAACAATTGGAGGTGCTTAGACTTCAGTTATTTCTCAAATGTGGCAGAGGAATAACACAAAACAAGGGTTGGTAGCAAAAGCCTTTGTCAGTCTTGGCAATACAGCTTATCTGTAAGTTTCTCTGCTTCATCCATCCCTCCTACCCTCAACAAGGCACATTAGTACTTGCTTGCCACATGAAATACCATCCCATTCAAGATGGACGTAAGCAACAAAGCAGACTCCCAGATTCAGCACACTCCCCAGAAGAAAGCCCTCATGGGCATATGCCAATCTAAGGCTCTGTTCACCTCGACATATTGAGTGAAACAACTGCAAGACACTGGAACAGGTTTCCAGACACCAGACTGAGTTGGCCTGAATCCCATCCTGTGCCTGGTGCTTCCTTCTGGATGGATCTAGATGTAAGAAGAGTTTACCCAACATGAAACCCTAGGCAAGGTACAGGGATGTCGTTCTGAATGCAGACCCAAGTGGAATTTAGACCAGCTGTATCTGAACACTGCTGTAACAGCTAGGTATATACAATATTTTGTGCGGAAACATCTCCTTATTTCTTAAAATTAAATACATAGCTAAAAAAGCGAGTACCAAAATTTAGGTTTCTAATTTTTTGAATTTGGAAATCCACACAGAAGAAATTAAATTTGAAGTTTGCAGTCAGTTGTGTGCACACCTTTTCAGGGCAAGGGGCCCATAAAAAAAGGTAAAGAACAGTATCTAGTTATCAGACTGAAGGAAATCAAGGTTATCATGTTATACGGAAGGTTAATGATAAACAAAGACAATGCAGAGCAGCAGTAAAACACTTTTTTTTTTTTTTAAACAAATTTGGCTCATACAAATAATCTTTGACTTCAAAGACAACTATTTGGATAGTTTGCACAATAAAGTCTGTTTTTCCCTACTCCCATCTAAGATAATCTTTTGAGAAGCAATTGTTTGTGCCATTATTTAAAACACTATGCCAGCTTCCCTCATGTTCATACTAAGGATGAGGA